TCATGTGAGAGTGTTCAAGTCTTTTTGTGAAAACATTGTATCATCATTTAAAGTCAAAACATAAGTTTCATCATAAAGCCGTCAAGACCAAACACATCAAAAATAAAACATCATGATATCACATCTATCATCAAAAGACTATCAAGAAATTCATATATAGATGTACATGCACTATCAAGAAATTCATACATAGATGTACATGCACTATGTCATATTAATATGTCATGAGAATGTCATCTTAATTCGTCATAAAAATGATTAAACCAAAAACATGTTAATCCAAAATGAGAGTATCAAATCAACATTTACTTCAAAAACTCATGCATGACATAAAATCATCAAAATACACATGCATGGATTAATCCTAAGCATTATCACATATCATATAACTATAATCCATAATGTTGCATACATCATTCAACATTTCAAAACATAACATGCATGAAACCTTAGCAATATACTTTTCATTGATCAAATTTTTAATTTTTTCAAAGATGCTAAAAAAGAAAAATATGATATAATTTTTAAAAAATAATTTTTTTATTTCCTATTCCTACTATCTAAATTAAGAACTCATGAAAAACTTCAAGTAATTTCAAAATAATTCAAGAGAGTTGAGTTACTTACCTTGTAGTCGAAGCCCGTCAAAGCCCAATTCGTCGTTTCACCTTTGGAAGTTCTTGATTCATCCTTGGGTGCCTTCCTTTTCTTTGGCCTCTTCCTCCATTCAAGTTCATTGTTCATTGACCTCTGCAACCCCGATATCCTTGGTGCAATTCCGCTCTCCTTGGCCCGATGCCCGACGTCCGAAGCCTTCTGCCGTCCAATATCTTGACGTGATCTCCTCCAGCACAACGTCAATTCCTCCTGTGTTAACTGTCTAATCCTAATCGAGTAGACCTGCATTACTCAAAATGCAGTTAAATATCTAAACACAATCAATTAGTTTTATCATCAAAATTTGATATTCAACATATTTAAGTTATTTTAATATGAAAATATATAATATTAATTTTCATCTTATATTGTTGGTTAAGTTGAGTTTAAGCTAATTCCACAAACATCTATATTTGAATTTGTCTTCAACGGTGATATATAAAGAAGACCAATAGGATAAATATTTTATGTTTCATAAAATTTTGGATTTTCTTTTTAACTTTTAGTAGCATTTGTTTTTGTAATCCTTATACTTATATTTCCCTTCCCAAGCAAGAGTACAATGAGGACCTTGAAGAGTCACGATGAAGTAGACTTATAAGATGAATTGTGCAAATGATGGAGATGTTTTCAGTATCTTTTTACTTCACCTTGGAGTATCATCTGTTGATTGATGATCTTAAAGTACTTGTGAAGTTGATAAGAGTCTAATATATCGAGAAAAAATTATAAATAGTAAAATAATTATTTTAAAAATCTTGTGTTAGGAAAGAGTTGGTACTAAGAGGGGGGGGGCGGTGAATTAATGCAGCAGATAAAATTATATCAGATCAAAATCTCATTGCAATTAAACCTGTTTCATAAAGATACTTAAATTTAAAGCATATGAAAGAGTATAGCAAGTAAGGAAGTTTGCAATTAAAGTAAATTGCTCAAAAGAAATGTAAACCAAGTTTATAATGGTTCGATTATTATTGTGACCCACATCCACTCTCGATTCCTCTTCCGTCAATACAATCAGTATCCACTAATGGTCTTGCTTCAATGGGCGAAGACCAATGACCCTTTTCTCCTTTTCACAGGTTTAGGACATAACCTTTACAAGCAACACAACTCCCTAAACAGAATTCTAAAGTTAGAACTAGATGAGAGTTTTTCTCAAGTGATTACTACAGCGTTTTCTAACTTTTAAACGTTCTGTGCTTGTATATATATATATATTTATTTATTTATTTATATTTATATATACATATATATATATTTATTTATTTATTTATTTATTTATTTATTTATTTATATATACATATATATATATGTATACATATA